ACGACCACCACCACCACACCACCCACACCAGTCACCCCACCACACCCCCACCCCACCACCACCACCACCCCCCCCCCCCCCCCACACCACACACACACACACATACATACGGCAGGTCGACCACTGTAGGAGAGGCCATGTCGAGCAAGAAGAAGGACGAAGGCAAAAAGGAGGCCGTGGCGGCCAACCCGGACGAGTTTGACTCGGAGGAGCTGCTGGCGGCCGAGCTGCGGGAGCGCAACCGCAAGGCGGAGGAGGCGCGCAAGCGTGACATGCTCAAGCGGAAGGAAGCAGCCGGTCGGGCCAAGCAAGACTTCTCCTGTGCTGTCTGCTGGGGCTGCTCAGATCCCAATGCAAAATTGGAGGAAGAGCGCCGCCGCGAGCGCCGCCGCCGCCGTCGCGCCGCCGCCCGCGCCTCAGGCAAGCCCATCCATGCTCGTGTCATGGCCTCGTACGACGACTCGTCCGACGAGTACAGCTACACACTCTCCGAGTCGTCTGAGCTGCAGGAGCTCGACTGTTGCACAGCGTGCATGATCGATCGCGAGTCGCGCGCAGAGTGGCAGAGAACCTACGAGGCCCAGGAGCGAGCCAAGGCTGCTCGCAAGCGCGCGCGCCGCCGCCGCCTTGCTACTCCGACCTATGACGGGTTCTCTGTCGGGCCGTCGGGAGTCAGCGCCAATTCGTCGTTTGGCGCTGTCCGTCGCCGCGGCAAGTCGTCTCGCCGCCCGTCGTCGCCGGCCTCATCGTTTGCCTCGACAACAGCTACCACCACGGCGTCATCGACATCGTCTTATTAAACCTTGCTCACCACTCCTCCGGCGCAGGCGCCTCTTCCAACCGCGCCAGCTCGTCGTACGAGACAAAGTGGTACTCCTGCGGCTTGTTAAGGTACGGCGTGACCTTGCCCGACGGGTGGTGCGCCGCGTATGACTCGAGCACGATCTTGCCCGCGTTGAGCGTCCACACCTGCGCCGGCGTCCGCGCCGCAGACACCGTCGCCGGCCGGCCGAACCGCTTGAGCCGCATGCGGAAGACAAACTCGGCGGTCCGGCTGGTCGATGACCCTGCGCTGCCTGTAGAGTCTTGTGCCGTCGCCTCGAGCCGCCCATCCCTCTGCACAAAGCTGCCCGTCCGCAGCGGACGCGACTTGCTGTGCTTGGCCGCCGCGTACCGGCCTCCGGCTCCGCGGCCCTCGGCCCCATCCTCGCCAATTGTCCAGCTGCTTCCGAGCCACCGTACCACCCGCGACGGGTGCTCTGGCGTGCAGAGCGAGGCAAACTCGCCGTTTGCGTGGAACTGGAGATACCGCCAGTACACGCACTGGTACATCGGCTCGAAGATGGTCCCGTTGCGGCATCGCTGCCCACCACGCCGGTAGTACGTCTCACGGCAAATGTACAGTCCGCCCGTCCGCACCAGCGGACAACACGCCAGTGCTGTCCGCCACGAGTAGCCCACTCGCGGCAGCAGCCGCGCAAGCACCGGCTTGGACACTCGATGCAGCCGCTCTCGCCACGCCGCATTGTCGCGCGAGAGCACAAACATCAGCCGACACACACGCGCAATCGACTCCAGTGATGCCACGTCCAGCCACTTGAGGATCTCAAGCAAGAGCTCCAGAGGTAGGTCACCAAGCCGAAGCCCACTGCCAGCACACCCTTCGTCGCCGCCGTCGGCATCATCGTGACTCAGCGCCACTCGTCCGGCCTCGCCTGACAAGATGTGCGCAAGCAAATCTTGCCCGCCGTCGCCTGCATCGCCGTCGCACCCACTCTCGACTCGCCCGTCGTCGTCGGCCAATGTTGCCGGTCTGGCGTCAGCCGGCATACCGCCGTCGTCTCTGCCCGCCATGGCCACCTCCGCCGCCGCCGCCCGCGCCTGGGCATAGGCATGGCGGTTCGAGACGTCGACGTCCGGGTCGAGAATAAACGCCTCGCGGTAGGTGTGCATGGCCTCGGTGACCTGGCCCGACCGCTCGAGCGCGGCAGCTCGGCAGAAGAGCTCGTGAGCCTGCCGCAGCCGCGCTTCGTCGGCCGTCTCCTCGGCCAGAATCTCGCGATTGACCGCATGCGACTCGTTGAGCTCCGCCAACCACTCTTCCCGGAACTGATCAAGTTCAGACTCCATCGTTTCTATGTCTTTTTCCTTGGACCGCCGTCCCTGTGCCTTGCTCCGCCGCCCTCGTCGTGATGAGTCGAGTGTCGCTCCCTCCTCCGCTGGCTGCCAATTCCTCCGCCATCGCACATCACCCGCACGCGCGCAGCATGATGCCTGGCCCACACTCCCGTACGATTCGTATGCCAGTACTGGCTGTAGCGTCTGCTGGTGGCCCTTGTCCTCTGCTATTCATGTGCCTGGATCACGCCGGTTTTACTGCGCCAACAAGCCTTCTGGACGAGTCTCGACCTCTCACGCAAATCAGTTTCTCGAAGCGAGTCGAAGCCCCCGAGTCATTTCCTCGCCTCTCAAGAGGCCGACGGCGACGCTGATGGCGACGCTGATGGCGATGCCTTGCGTACACTGGGCTGCGCAGTGCAGACCCGAGTTCCGACGTTGTCGGCCGCGAGGGCGGTGGCGAGGTGCTTGACAAAGTCGAGCGGGAAGGCGCCCGTCGGCGCCTCGGCGTAGAGCCACAGGTCAAAGAGGCTCGTCGTCTCGGCAGTGGCTGTGCAAATGGCGGCGGCTGCAGCTGCTGCGCCCGCCTCGGTCATCTCGACAGCATCAAGCTCGAGGACGTGCGCGCCTTTGCCCGGCGGCAGAATAGCCGCCGGTGCCGCCACGCGCAGGCACCACTTGCCGGCACTGCCGCGCGAGAGCACAGCCTCGGCCCGGGAGAGCGCATAAGGCATGGCCGGGCGGGTAAAGCCCGACATGATCTCCGGGGGATGGGCCGGCTCCTTGCCCTCGCGATCGTAGAAAGAGACCTGCTCCATGGTCATGGCGTTGGCCTCGACCGACGACGGGCCAAAAGCGGCGTCGATGCCGGCGGCTAGGAGGGTGAGCAGAAACTCGGCCTCCTCCACGTAGCCATCGCACACACAGGCGTCGACGGTAAAAAGCCAAAGAGCCTGCGCCGACGCTGGCGCGTTCTTGAGCCATGCGCCGAGCTCGTTGGCACCGAGCGCCACAGAGTCGAGAACCCCTGGCGCCACAGCCACCAGCAGCTGGCACATGTGCTCCATCGAAGCCGTCGTCATGCCAAGCATCCGCGCCAGCGTGGCGAGCACAAACAGCACCCCGCCGTCGCCCGCCGCCCGCGACGACTGCAGCAGTGCGTACGCCTCCTCGGTCCGGCCCTCGGACATCAGCACAAGTCCGAGAGCGCGGGCCGCAATCACCAGCTGATCGCCGGCTCCCTCCACATCCTCGCCGCTGGCCACCAGCGCATCAAGCTCGCCCACCGCCACCATGTATGCATCTGCTGCAGACGCTTCGTCATCCAGCTCCTCTGCCACCACTCCGGCATTAAACGCCAGCGCTGCCCGCAGCACCCGCGGCGTATCGCTGCCGACCTGACCAGCAGCAGCCGCATACAGCTCCTTCGCCTGCTCGTACTGCCCAGCCGCAAAAGCAATCTCTGCACGCTACTCCACACCCCACACCCCATCCACAGACATGTAAGTCACTATCAATCATCGCCGCCATCGCCATCATTGCCGTCGCCACCATCGCCACCATCGCCATGACCACAGCCATCTCCTTCCCTCCCAGCCATCCCGGCCATCCATCCCTGGCGAGAGGGACAGGGACAGGACGGGGGCCCATGGCGGACAGGACGGGGGCCCACGGCAGACATGGGAGCAGGTTGTGGGGAGGGGAGTTGCGCATGGCGTGCGTACCTCTGTCAGGGCAGCGAGCGGGACGTCTGCCAGTGGGAGCGTCTCGCCGGACGAGAGCTTGCCGGTGGTCTCTGCGTAGCCAACGAGGTGGACACTCGGGGTACCCACCAGACCCGCGAGGGGCACAGGGTCGTACTCGGGGAACAGAGCCGTATCAGAGTACACATCAGAGAGCCGCGCCTCATTGCTCCGACCCACATCCATCGCCGCAACGTCCATGATCTGGATCCTGATGTGGCGTCGAGTGGTGACCTCCCTCTCCTCCCTCTCCCTCTCCCTCTCCCCCTCCCTCTCCCTCCCATGCAGCAACCGCATCGTTCATGTCGAGTGCAGCCACGGCCAATGCCCAACCACCCAACCAACCAACCGCCATGAATGACAGATAGCGCAGCGCAAAAGAGCGGCAGGCTTTTTGCCAAAACCAAAAAGGCAAAAGCCATCAAGGTACTGGCAATGGGTCGAGAGGCTCATCATTCCGTCCATCACCAAGCGGCGGAGAGCCACCGAACAGCCGCCAAAACACAGCCGAGTCTACCCATGACGACACCACGGGAGGAGTCCTTCCCCACACAGCCTCTGGCTCACACTCCACCCTCTCCCGTTCCATACCCACACATCTCCCACACACACTCTCTCTCTCTCTCTCTCTCTTCCCTCCCCCCCCCCTTCCCCTCCCCTCCCGCCTTCTCCTCCTCTTCCCCCCCCCTCCCCCGGTGGCCATGTTTTCTCTGCTGGGACGTGGCACTGGCACTGCTGCCGCCATGGCAACACGCCGCTGGCTGCAGGCTACGGGCACGGGCACAGGAATGACTGGTGCAACAGTGGCTGCTTTGTTGCAGAACATGAGACCTTGTGTAGATGAAGCTGCTGCTGCTGCTCACCTCGCCCGTCGCTGGGCTTCGTCATCGGCCTTTCCCTCCACCCTGGTGTGGGAGCCAGTGCCCGACCCGGAGTCGGCATCCATGCCCGCCGGCCGCTGCGGACTGGGCGCGGCACAGCTTGGCTCTCACGTCTTTGTCCTTGGTGGCGATGTGGGCTCGCCGCCCGATGGCACAGCCTCGAGCGAGTTTGTGGTCCGCAAGGTCGTTTCCTCGCCCAACAAGCAGCAAGCGCCCAAGGGCTGGGTCGCCGTCCAGGCGCTCAACGCCGGGCCCGACGCCCGCTTCGGCCACTCGTTCTCCACCTCGGAGTCATCGCTCTCGCTGTTTATGGCCGGCGGCTCGACTGGACGCAACGCCCGCACCGCAGAGTTCTGGCGCTTTGTTGTCTACCCGCAGACTCTCTCCCGCGGCAACGTCGCCGGTGAGTGGCACATCCTGCCCGAGCTCCCCGAGCCGCGCGACCTGCACACTGCCACCCTCATCGAGGGCGCCTCAGCCTCGGCCATCATCATCGGCGGCCGTGGCCCGCAGGTCGCCACCGCAGATGTCTGGTCGTACTCGGTTCCGAGCTCAAAGTGGACCAAGCTGTACGATGCCAAGGCCCACGGGCCGTCACCCGACGCGCCCGTTGCGCTTGCGGGCCACGCCGCTGTCCCTTCGGCCCTCGCCCCCGAAATCGTGGTCTTTGGCCCCGGCTACCCGGCCCTCGAGGCCGCCATGAAGGAGTCGGTCCCCGACGGCGTCGAGCCGGCAAACGCCGTCTGGGCGTTCAACCTCTCGTCCAAGACCTGGCGCCGCATGGGCTCGGACGGCGGCGGCCCGCCGCTGCCGGTTGCCGGCGCCTCGGCCGTCTCTACCGACGGCGGCCGCACCATGATTGTCGTCGGCGGCGCCACTGTCGACCCCGAATCGGGCGAGCCGTCGTGGCACTCGCAATCGCCGTGGCTCTACGACTTTGCCTCCGAGTCGTGGCACCCGCTCAAGTCGGTCAACGAGCCCGCTGGCATCGTCGCCCACGGCGTCATCCCTTGCGACGGCCACTTTCTGGTCATCGGCGGCGAGACCGCCGACCGCACCCCCACCATGGCCGCCTGGAATGTCACCCACGTCGACACCAACGAGTAGTGCGTAAACCTGTCGCTTAGCTTAACTTGCTCCCGCTTCCCCCCATCTATCTTGCTCTGTCGTTGCGTTCATGTTCCAGGCAAGTCGAGCTCGCCGTCCGACGACGTCAGTGCGTACGCGTCGCGACCGCCCAGCGACGCAATCGGGTTGTACCCGCCGCCGCCGCTGCTGCCGCTCTCTTCTGCCATCGCCGCGAGGCCGACCGACTTGAGCGCCTGTGCGGCAAAGCCGTCGCCGTCGCCATCGTCGTCGTCGGACGACATTTCAAACTGAATGGTCTCGGACTTGGGCGCAGCAGCCGGCGCCGCTTCTGCCGCCGCTGGCTCGAGCGCCGCCATCGCCACCGCTTCTGGAGCTTGACTAACCTCGGGCGACTTGTGCCGCCGGCCGGACGGCCGGTCCAGGCCGAGCTCCTCGTACCGCTTGAGCGTCTGCCGAGCCGCTGAAAGCTCGACCTCGAGTGCCTGCTTTTCGACCGAGGCCAAGTTGAGCTCGGCCCGCTGCGAGGCGACCACGTCCTCGAGGCTCTTGATGTGCTCGTTCTTGTGGACAACCTCCATGATGGCGTCTTTCTCGTCCTGGCCCATGTCCGCAGTCTCTGCAGCCATGATGTTGCGCTTGAGTGCCAGCCGCTCCTGCTCGAGGCTTGCCACCTGGTCCTGCAGCTCGCCGGTGAGCCTAATCTCCTCGGCAAGCTTGACCTTTTCGTCCTTGAGTGCCTTCTCCAGCGCTGCCCGCTGGGCCTCGGCCATCTCGGCCCGCCGCTCTGCAGCCGCGGTGGCCACCTTGGACGCCTCCGCCGTTGCTGCCGCCTTCTCCAGCTCTTGCTCCAAGAACGCCACCCGGTGGTTGGCCTTGCGCTGCGTCTCCTGGATCGAGACCTCGAGGTCGCGCAGCTGGTCCAGCGACGTCGAGTGGGTCAGCGCCTGCGAGTGCCGCAGCTCGTTGAGCTGCTCGAGAAGCTCGAGCTCGCGCGCCTGCGCCGCCTCCTCCACCGTTTCACGCTCAACTCGCGAGCTCTCGAGCTCCTGGGACATCTGCACATGTGTAGCCTGAAGCTTGCGCGAGAGCTTGGCCACCTTGGCCTCGGCCGTCTCGGCCCGCTGCTGTTGGCTCGAAGCAACCAACTTGGCCTTGGCCACCTTGCCCTTGAGAATCTCCTTGGTCTTCTCATACTTGGCCAGAAGTGACGCGGTCTCGGCAGCGTGGACCTCGCGGAGTTGGCCCTCCTGGCGAGCAAACTTGGTGGCTGCCTCCTCAAACGAGCCCTCCAGTGCCTTGATCGTAGCGTGCGCTCGTGCTAGCTGCTTGCTGGTGTCGCTCATTTCAGCCCGGGCGTTGGCGACGTCGTTATGGAGCCGAGCCTCTGCCGCCTCCGCCGCCGCCGCCGCCGCCTCAGCTTCGGCCTGGACCCGGCCAAGCTCAGCCTGCTTGGCGTCGCGCTCGGCCTCGACCTCGGCCGTCCGCGCCTCGGCGCTCTCCACCTTTGCCCGCTCCGCCGCCAACTTCTCACGCAAGTCGCTGATGGTTTGCGAATAGGTCTTGAGTCGGGTGAGGAGCTTGATGCCGCGCTCCGAAGTCTCAAACTCAAGCCGAAGCTGGCGCTCCTTGTTGATCCAGGCTGCCGAGCGCTCACGCTCACGAGCGTGCAGCTCGGCCGCCTCTAGCGTCAGCGACTCGTACTGCGCACGCCCGGCGTCGAGCTTGGCTCGCAGCGCCTGGATGGTAATGGCGTTGGCGCGGAGTTTGTCGCGAGCCGAGTAAAGCGCCGCTGAAGGCGATGGCTCGCGGGCGGTGAGCTCTGCTGAACGCTGCGCCCGGTGCAGCTCTTTGCGCAGCCGTGCGTTGGCCGACGAAAGCCGCTTCTTGCGCGCCTCAAAGCTGGCCTTCATGGCCGCAACGTCGGCCTCGATTTTGGCCCGCCAGTCCTCGATCTCCTGCACCATCAACGCCTCGACCGTGAGGAGAGAGCCGTCGTTCCGCATGGCTGGGCCGTAAATGGACGACTCAATGTCGGCCGGGGTAAGCCCCATCCGAAGGAGCTTGGCCCGCGACAACTCGCGCGCCTTGAGGTGCATCAACTCGCCCGCAAGACTGCGCACATCCGCTCGCGCATCATCTAGGAGCTGCAACGCACGCGCATGCCGCTGCGACAACGTCCCCTTGAGCACCACTCGCTCGTAGTTAGAGTCAGGGTGAGCGCCAGTCAGCTCGTCATGCGTGTGCATCGACGCCAGCAGCCGCGAGTGGCCCGGCACGAACGAGACAAATGGCTCACGGCCCTGCGGCGGGAGCAGGTCGATGGCCTCGGCCGAATCGCTGCTGACAACCCGGATGGCCACCTTTTCCGTCTCTGGCGACCGCTTGGGCGCCGCCGCCCACTCGGCCTCCGCCTCTGCCTCCGTCTCTGCCTCTGCCTTCGCCGCCGCCTCCGCCGCCGCCGCCGCCTCTGCATGTGCCCGTGCAGCGGCGGATGCCTTGGCTGCTTCAGCCTCGGCCGTCGCGAGTTCATGCGCAGCAGCAGCAGCGGCTGCCTCGGCAACCGCAAGCTCAAGTTCGGCGGCTGCCTCTTCAACAAGCTGCTGCGCAAGAGCTCGGGCTTCAGCAGCAGAAGAAGCCTCGGTCACAGCTGTGACCTCGTCTTGGACGGCGGAAGCAGCTTCGTCCTCGGCTATGCTCTCGATTAGGGCAGCAGCTTTGTAGGTCTCGGCATCGTCGGCCTCGGCCGCAATCTCCTCGGCCGCAACCGCAATGGCCGCCGCAGCTTCCGCCGCAACGTTCGCTGACACCACTCGAGCGTTGGCCGTCGCCTCGGCAGCAGCCGCTGCCACTGCCGCATCGCGCGCCTGGGCCTCGGCAGCAGCAGCCTCCGCAGCCTCCGCCTCGGCACGGACACGAGCCATGACAGCAGCCTCGGCCTCGGCCTCGGCCGCCAGCACTGCGCCGGCATCATCAGCCGACGGCGAAGAGATGTCAACAATCGATGCGTCGTCGTCGTCGGACGAGAGCTCAACCCCTTCGACCGAGATATCCAAATCCAAGTCGTCGGTCGCGTCCGAGAGATCTAGCCCGAGCTCGCCATCGTCGTCAAGCGAGCCACCAGAGCCTCCGCTGACATCATCGTCGTCATCGTCGTCGCCCGACAGTTGCCACGAGAAGCTTGTGCCCTCGCCCGAGCCCGGAGAGAGCAGGTCAGCCGACGTCACCTCCAGCCCGTCACTCAATTCTGCCTCCAGAGAGTCCATGGTGCAGAAAGGTGGGGTGAGGTGAGGTGGGGTGGGGTGGAGGGGTGTACGGCGTGGGCGGGTGGGGGGGGGGGGGGAAGAGGGAGGGGGGGTCAGTCCGTTGGTTGGCCACCCAACGATTAAGAGAAACGAGAAATAATCGTAACCAGATGAGGAAGGGGAGGGAGACCATGGTGGGTACACGGACGGACAACGGACATACCACAGCCCCTTCCACAGATCGCACCACATGCCAGCGCCAGCTTCTGCTCATCTCCATCAGAGCTCTACGTTCATCGTCCATGCTCATTCCTATCGCCCATTCCCACCCCCCCCCCCACCCCACCCCACCCCACCCCACCCCCCACACCCCCATACTCCCTCGCCCCAATTGTCAGCTTCACTCGTTCGTTCCCAACGGGTTCACCGCTCTCCCCCCCCCTCGGTCTACCCGTCGACACGCAACCACACTCCTCCTTGGACACCATGGCCGGACACGGCAATGGCTCAGGCTGGAACCGAAATGGTCGTCGAGAGGATGGTGGTGGGAGGAGCATGCCGGTTCATCTGCGCCCGCGCAAGGCGCTCCACGTCGACGCGCCTGCTGGCCTGTTTGAGACTCAGATGCCTCGCGGCGGCATTGGCCGCTCGCTCAACTACTCATCGATCGCGGGCTACAACGTCCTGCTCAACGCGTACGAAGATCCGCGGCAGGAGGCTCGAGCCTTAGAGTACGAGGCCCGTCAGCCGCGCCGTGGACGCAAGGCCTTTGCCATGCCCCGCACCAATCCGTTAGGCGCAGACTTGGACGCTCCGCCCGAGCGGTCGCACGCAGGCTCGCGGAGCAGTGGCTACTACGCCGATACCTCTTCCAGTGGGCGGACAGGTGCGCGTCCCGGCGGGCACGGCCCTGTGCGCTCAAGATCGCAAGCCGGCTTTCGCGCCACCCCGTCGGGCGCTGCCCCGCTGCTGGGTCAGGCTGTGTCGGAGCTCGGCCCGCCGGTTCCGCGCTCGGCCTCGCGCAACGAGCCGCTCAACCCGTACGCCAAGTCGTCGTACAAGTACAAGTACCAAGCACAAGCGTACAATCCGCTGACACACACCTACACCGATCCATCTCTGCAGGCCGCATCTGCTGCTGCCGAGTCCGACGCCCGCCGCCGCAAGGCAGAGTCGTGGCAGGCCCACCGCTCGCAGGCTTCGCCCGAGCGAGCTCGCCGCCGCAAGATGGGCATCAGCACCAGGGACTCATCTTCCGTTCCGGGCTCCATCCTCGCCCCTGCGCCGCCAGCCGCCGATCGCGTCCGCCACTCGGCCTATGACCCCAAGAGCTCTCGCTGGCGTGCCGGCCCGCCCCAGCCGGCCAAGACCCGCCCGCAGCCGCTGCTCCAGTCGGCCGGCGTCAGCTCGGCCCTGCGCGAACTGCCACCGCGCCGCAGATCCTCCCGCCCGGCTCCACCGCAGGCCTCCAAAGCGTTGCACCACCAATCGACTATTGCTTCGGTCCTCGCCTACAGCGATGCTCCTATGTCCGCCCAAGAGCTTGCGTCATATGCCCGCCCCTCCCGCAAGACTGGCCCGCGTGAAGTCGACCGCGGCTACTCGATCCTCGCCCATGACGGCTAGGCAACTCAAGTTTGATTTCTGGCGAGACGTCGGCTACGCTATTGCACATCGTAGGAGAAGACTGCCACCAACTGCGAGCCGTTGCTCGCCGTCGATGGTACGTACGCGATAAACGCCGACTTGGCATAGTTGAAATGAGTAGTGCACTTGGCCACAAACGACGGCTCGCCACTCGAGGTGGCAGGCGGCGAGGCCGTCTTGGCATGGCTGTCCACGTACACCACCTCAGCCGCCACGCCGCTCCCTCCGCGCGAGACCACAAACGCACTGTGGTCGCGGCTGTTGATCGCTCCCGAGTCAACGGCGCACGCCGACGTCGTTGTTCCGCTCACAGGCCACGAGAGCGTGATGTTGAGCGTGTGCTGGGACAAATCAAACGCCATCATCTCGGTCGTCCCTGCACCGTAGTACGTCATCGCCAGCCACTCGCCATAAAAGACGACGCCCATCGGAGTCGGCATCGCAAACGAGACCGTCGCCTCGGCTGCACCGCCGCCGACCACAAAGTTGACGAGCGCGCCAGGCGGCTGCTTCCCCTTGGGCGTGGTCGGGTCAACGCCGGTCAGTGTGATCATGATCGAGTTTCGCGCGTACGGATCATACGCCACGCCGTCGACTGCGAGCAGGTACGGGTATGTCACGGCCACGCTCGGGACTACCTCGGCTAGCGAAAACGTCCGAGTCACTATGGCGTCGTCAGGGGTGGCAAAGTCCTTGATCTCCACAACCGTCAGATCGTCGGCAAACAGATACCCATAGCTGTCGCCAGTGACGGGCGACGAGCCTGTGGCGACGTCGACCCACGACGCAGAGGCCGACACGTTGGGCAGCGTGAGCGATGAGTGCAGCTTGAGCGAGCACTCTTGGTGGTAGTTGGAGAACGGATTATCGCACTTGTAGTACTGTAGCAAGTTGTGAGCCGTAGCGAGCGCCAGATAGCCGTTATAAGGCTCGACGTAGTAGCCGACTGCAGCCGAGACGCCTGCCGGCAGCAGCCACGCTGCATGATCCATGACTTCACCATCAACTACGCCCACTACACTCGATCCAGCCACAAACATGACGTTGTTGTGGTAGCTCCGATCGGCCTTGACCCGTGACCATGGCGCCGTGGTGTTGAGGTCGATGGTGCCGACGAGAACGGGCGTGGTGGCAGTAGCCAGGGTCATCAAAGCAGACAACGCAGAGACAAGCAGGCAGAGACGTGTGAGGTACATGGTCGTAGTGGTGGTGGGAGGGGGGGGGGGGGGGAAGGAGGGGGAGGGGGGGAGGAGTGGTGTGACATGTGGCAGAATAAACCACACGGCGGCTGGTTCATCGACATCGGCACCGCATCGCCAGTACGGGCTAACACATCTTCAGTGCAGGCAACACATCGCTAGCATGGACGATACATCGGTATATATGGGTGACGTGTGGTGCTACTCTTGCCGGCGCGGTGAGGGGCCGATGCAGGCACACGATAGGGGGTCGTCACGGACAGTACTGAGCCCATGCCGGCGGGCAGTAGTTGCAGACGTCCGGATGATTGGGCAGGAGGAAGCAAGCGGCAGGCCGGCCATCGACGGTGGCGGGGCCAGCGTCGGCGGGTGAGCATGCAACTGATGGCAGCCCGCTGCAAGCCATGACGCATGTCGAGCCCATATCGGGATCGGTGCAAAGCGAGACGCCGTCGCCACTGGCGCCAATCAGAGACGACGGCGGCGGCGGTGACTCATACTCGCCGTCGCTGAGCGGCGAGTGCGAAAAGCGTCCACCACCTTCATGCCAGCGCTGGTGGTGCCAGGCACAAAGGCGATGAACTTGTCGGAGTTGTAGTGGTAGTGCGTCGAGCACCAGGCGACGGTCGACGGCGTCGATGGCCCCGAGCCGATCCTGCTCACCACACCGGTGTCTGAGTCGAGGATGACGATTTGCGAGCCTGTGCCAGAGGTGAGCCGTGAGGCGACAAACATGCCGTGGTCTCCCTCCTCGGCCGCGCCCGAGTCGACAGCGCAGGCCGAGGCTGTCATACCGAGCGCAGGCCAGCTGGCTGTGATGTTCTGCCCGGGCTTGTCGTCGTCGTATGCGATGAGATTTGTGCCGTTGACCCCATAGTGCGTTAGTGAGACAAAGCCAGTGTAGTGGACAATGCCCATGGGCGTCGGCAGCGTAAACGAAACAACCTCCACTTTGCGGACGCCGATGGCAAAGGTGAGGACGACGGCGGGCGGCGGCGAGCTCGCCGTCACAGGATCTTCGGTCGTGAGCACGATCCATAGATGCGTTCGCGAGTTCGGGTTGTAGTCGGTCCCAACCGCCGCGAGAAGATAAGGATACTTGGCAACAACAGCTGGAACAAGATCGCTGAGCGAAAAGGTGGCACTCACAAACGCGTTGTCCGGATCGCCCAAGTCGCTGACCTCGACGACGGTCAGGTCGTCGCCAAATAGATAGCCGAAGCTCTGCCCGTTGACCTCTGACTCGCCGGTGGCTAGATCGACCCAGTCGGTCGAAGCCGTCACGTTTGGCAGTGTCAGATTAAGATATGGAGTGAGCGCGCAGTCCTGCCCGCGGTCCGAGCACGGGTCGTCGCACCGGTAGTACACGAGCAGGTCCGGCGAGGGCGTCAGCGCGAGATATCCGTAGTACGGCTGCGAGTAGTAGCCAATGGGCGACGAGACGCCCGGCGGCAGCTGCCACGTCTTGTGCGCCATCACGCCACCGTCGACCATGCCGATGAGGGTGGTGCCAGCGAGAAATATGACGTTGTTGAGGTATGTCCGATCGGCCTTGACCCGCTTCCAACTCCCACTCGTACCCATCTTGATCGTCCCCACATACTTTGGCGCCACGGGTGTCTTGACCATTCCCTTGCCCTTCACACCCGCATCTTCCGCCCACCACTCGCCCTCGATCCGGATCGCCTCCCCGCCACCGCCGTCCGCCTCCCCAGCCAGCTCTTCCATCGCGGCCGTCGTCGCCTCGGCAGCCAACGGCAGAACAAGGACAACGACAACGACAAGGACGAGAACCAGCCCTAGGCGAGCACCGGTGGTCCGCTGCTTGGTGAAGACGCTCATGTGCACCCGTCCAATCGCCCGAGTGTAGGACAGGTGTGACTCGGTGTGGAGCAGTGGTGCGGTGATGAGAGTGCGCGTGCGCGGCCTGACACCACCACGTGTGGCACAGGCAGGGCCAATCGCTGTCATTGGCCACATCCGAGCCACCGATCACACAGCTCGCCAGCCCAGTGGCACCCATGTTGCAGTTGCGCAGCTGAGCATTCGCTGGGGCTGTACGGAGTGGCGGCGGCGGCGGTGGTATCGTATGTTCCACATCTGTGATCATGTGATGTGAAGGTTCATTGTGTTGGTGTTGGTCTTGCCCTCGGAGCCTCCAATTCCCGATGGCCGGCTGCAGTGCCGGTCCAAGAAGCGGCCTCGGGCTTGCAGGTGGATGAAGCTAGAGAATGGCGCACTTCTTCTTCTTGGCCATCGACGGCGGCGCAAGGGCGAGGTTAACGGCCTGGTCAAAGACGCTCTTGATGCCCTTGGCCTCCTTGGCCGAACACTCGACATAGGTGGCGCCGATCTCGCGCGCGGCGCGGACGCCCTGCTCGTAGGTGACCGGCGTCTCGCCGCGGCCACGCAGACCCTCCAGTGTCGCCTTGTCGGCGCGCAGATCAGACTTGGTCCCTGCGAGCACAATCGGGACGTGCGGGCAGTGGTGGCGGATCTCGGGAATCCACTTCTCGCGGACGTTGGCGAGCGAAGCGTGCGAAATGAGCGAGAAGCAGACGAGGAAGACGTCGGTCTGCGGGTACGAGAGCGGGCGGAGCCGATCGTAGTCCTCCTGCCCAGCCGTGTCCCACAGGCCGAGGAAGACAGGCTTGCCGCCAGCCATCACCGTCACCGAGTAGTTATCAAAGATCGTCGGCAGGTAGTCCTCCGAGTACGCGTTGCTCGAGTACGACATCAGGAGCGAGGTCTTGCCCACAGCCCCATCGCCAACAGTAACCAGCTTGATTGACTTGTTCATCTTCTTGTTCTTGTTCCTCTGCTTAAGATCGAGTGTAGCTCACAACTTGTGTTGTGCGTGTGCTTGTATGTTTGTGTGTCTTCAGCAAAGATGTGACGTCGACCTGTCCATGGCCCCGGTTTTGTTGCCATCGAGCGCTCCCCGTTTGGGGGCACCAGCCAGCCCATTGCCCCAACCCGGCAACCCCTCCCGTTCGTCACCGATGGAAGGTCTTCGCCATCATCATCACGTCCATCCACCCCGCACCCATCCCCATGCCACTCCCATCATCCATCGCCATACCAATGGGCTCCTGATCACAAGCCCCACCCACCAGCCTCTACATCCATCATCATTTCTCAGCTCTTCTGTAGCCCAACTGTGTGGTGTTTGATCACCGCGGCGATCGATCACTCCCTCGCCTGATCACCACCACACCCCGATCCACCCCCCATACCCCCCCCCCCTCCCTTGCCCAGGCCACCACCACTCGCACTGCACACTGTGAAACACCCAACAACACAGACAGACACACACACAGGGGTGACATGGCTGACGGCCCAACAGAGAGCCAGCCGCCGCCGCCGCCTGGGACTCCCGGAGCGCCCGGAGCCTGGCGACTGTCCTCCGACGACGTGCGGTGCATCACCTGGTGGTTCGGCTGGGCGCTGTTCCTGGCCATCGCCATCTCGCTAGGCGTGTGGAAGACCGCAGAGCCGGGCTTCCAGCTATCTATTGCTGTTGCACCAGAAGAGGTCAAGCCGATGCGGTTCGACGAGTCTACTGGCGTCGTCCATCCGCGCATCCTCCGCGATCATGTCCCCTGCGCAGGCAATCGCTGCTTCTCGGTGGCAAGACCGGGCTGCAGCGCAGCCCGAGACGGCCGTATCACCGTCCACGTCGTGCCTTCAGCCGAGCCGCGCGCCTCGGTTCCGGTCCCGCTTGCCGGCGCCGCCTTCTTCGACTACGATGCGGTGGTCCACGCGCTCGCAGCGTCCAACGCGACCCGCGCAGTCGACGCCCCAGACGCCGCCTGCCTCATTGTCCCGGGCCTCGACTCGTCGGCACCAGGCGCAGGGACCAAGCTTCCAGAGCTTCCAACTTGGGGGCCGACGGCGGCAACCACCTTGTGCTCGACGCGCTCTCGCCGCCGTGCGATGCTTACCCGGCCGGCCGTGCCGTCCGCTGGGCCCGCGCTGCCGACGAGCGCTGCTACTGGTACCACCACGACCTGGTCATTCCGTCGTCAGGCGCCGTGGCCGAGGTTGCGGCTTATGCCGAGCCCGATGCGCCGGCCGTGCTCTCGGCCTCGGAGCGGAGTCACTTGCTCGCAGTCGTCGGTCCCCGCGATGTCTTGCCCGAGATCGACCACGATCCGCCGTACGTCGTCCGCTGCGACGAGTGCACCGTCGACGCGGAGGCCGAGCGCGCGCTCTATCGTGCATCCAAGTACGTCGTCCTCGACGTGCTCACCAACGCCGGCCCGGAGCAGCTCTTCCGAGTCATGGCCGCTGGCGCCGTTCCGGTCGTCGTCCACCGCGGCTACACCATTCCCATCCTCCCACTCGCCGAGGCCATTGCCTGGCAGGAGCTGGTTTTCTTTGTCATGGCCTCGGACCTCCCGGAACTGGCTGTCACCCTTTACTCGTTGGACGACGCCGTCCAGGACGAGCGCGCCGCCGCCATCGCCGGCGTGCTCTCATCGACCTTTGGCTCTACACGGTCGGTTGTTGATGCTGCGCTCGGCATCACCACCAGGCGCATTGCTGCCACCCTCGCCTCGCTCGACGCCGATCCCGACGACGAGCTGGCCCGTGCGCGCGCCCTTGACGACGCTGGCCTCGGCATCGCCTACGTTGCTCATCTCCGCCAGCTCGTTGCCGACGCCGCCGACTGAGGTAAGCTGCGCATAATGCCTGCAATGAAGCACTGCCTGCGCACTCTGCACACTGGTCACGCACCACCCTCGTCAGCCGCACGCACGCACGCCAGCATCAGCGCTTGCTGGCTCGCCAGCACAGCAAGCTCGTCGCGCTCGGCGCGGACACGGTCAGCATCCCGAGCCGCCGCATTGGCACTGGCCAGCGCTCGGCGCAGTGCGGCAACCTCCTGCTCCAGCACCAGGACTTTGTACGCCAGCTCGTGGTCGCCGTCGCTGGCTGGCTGGCTCCCTCCGCGCGCTTCCAACGAATCTACCGCCGCGGGCGGGCGGGGGACCTCGTCGGCGTAGATGGCAAAGGCGGTGGTGACAGCGGGCAGACTTTCGGCCGAGTGAGAGTCTCTGCTGCTTGCGCCACCTATCTGACCCTGTTTGCTCCCTTCCACAGGCTCCAGCAGCCGCTTTCGCTTGGACGGCCGGCCGAGGCCCGCACTGCCAGCCAGGCCGGCATTCTCCTTCTCGTCGGACGACGACGACGTCGACGTCCACGCAGCCTGCACACCGCCACCCTTGCCACTTCCACCTTGAGGCATGATGGCTCCTGTTTGCGACATGCTCTCCCTGACTCTGGTTCTCCGAAAGTGCAGTGCTATGCTCCGTATACCCGTGGACCTCGCCTGCTCTCCCTCTCCCCTCGGGCTTGGCGCCCAAACACCACAAGACCTTTTCCTCCCACCCGCCGCCTGATCGATCGCACCCGCGCGGGCCATCACATGTGACAGCCACAGTCATTCGCCGCGGCCTACGTAAGACGCAAGCGGCAGACCTCACTCCCGCAACCCTCCACTCCACCCCACCCTCACGCCCCTGCACACACACGCAAGCAACCAGGGCCCTCCTGCACTCTACACACACACACACACATGGCAGAAGTGCCAGGGCGTGAGCAGGCCACGTCGAGCGAGTCGCTCCATGACGTGGTCGCCCACCCGGCGGGCCTCTCCATTAACGCAGCCCTTCCTCCGAGCCTCTCCATCAACGCGGCGGCTGACAGCTTTGAAATGGGGCGCGACACTCGGCACCATTGATGTCACCAATGCGGTATGCAGTAGATGACTCGATCCAGCCAGTCCATCCGGACGTGGTTGTGGCGCTCTCCACAGTCCGCGCCGGCATTGCCAGCGGCGTCCAGCCGACCAGGGTCTCGCAGGGCTCGTCAGGCTCGTACTTTGTCCGCGACGCCAGCAACACCATTCGGGCCATCTTCAAGCCAAGGACGAGGAGCCGTACGGCGACCGAAACCCCAAGTGGATGAAGTGGCTGCACAAGACGCTCGCTCCTTGCTGTTTCGGGCGGGCGTGCCTCATTGCCAACCAGGGCTTTGTCTCGGAGGCTGCGGCGTTTGTGGTGGACGAGGCGCTGGGCCTCGACATCGTCCCGCCGACCAACCTCGTCATGCTCGCCTCGCCGGTCTTCAACTATGGCCAGCAGTACGAGAACGGCATCCGCCAGCCGCTCTCGCTCTCACCCAAGATCGGCTCATTCCAGCTGTTTGTCAACGGCTACGTCGATGCGCAGACCTTTCTCGACACCCACGCCGAGGCCCTCGCCGATCCGACCTCCCCGCTCGCGCGTGCCTTCCAGGCCCAGTTTGAGCGGCTGGTTATCCTCGACTACATCATCCGGAACACCGATCGCGGAACCGACAACTGGCTTGTCCGCGTCGACGACGCCATGTCGGACGCGCCGCGTGTCGCCATCGCCGCCATCGACAACGGCCTCGCATTTCCTTTCAAGCACCCTAACGGGTGCCGGACATATCCCTACGCCTGGGCCTCTCTTCCGCAGGCTGCCCTTCCGTTCTCGGACACGCTTGCCGCCGAACTCGAGCCGATCCTCCACGACAACATGAAGTGGGACTCGACTGCGGCTGCGCTGCGCGACGTCTTTGAGCTCGACACCTCGTACGACGACGAGTCGTTTGAGCACCAGATGCAGGTCATGCGCGGCCAAATGGTCAACGCGCTCTCGGCGCTCATGGCCAGGCTCTCCCCGCTGGACTTGCTGGAGCGCCCACCGATCACCGTGGAGCACGACATTGTTGCGGGCGGGTGGACCGAGCCGCAACTCGCCGACGCCATCGCCTGCTTTTCGGGCTGGTGACGAGGAGCATTGAATCGACCGCCTCCTTGCATGCGGTTTTACTGCGACTGCGCAAACTGCTGGACCATGGCCTGCAGCCGCTGGAGCGGCGCGCCCTGGCGGCCAACCTCGGACGGCGACGACGAGAGCATGAGCTGGCCGACGACTTGCTGCCATGAGCCGCCCTGGTTGAAGAGTGAGGCCAGCCAGTCGGCAGTCATCTGCTGCGAGGTGAGCGAGCCCATGCGGATGAGCATGCGGAGGCAGCCGATGAGCGTCGGCCGGTGGGTCGTGAGCGAGTCCATAATGAGGCCCGGGACGAGGAGGAAGAGCTCCTGAAGAACGCCGACGGTCTCGCCGCAAACCTCGTCATCGCAGAGGCCGACAAAGACGTACTCGTGAAGGACGGACCAGACGCGCGACCACTCGGAGACCGCGCTCGAATCGAGCGAGCGGGCCTCGGTCCGAACGGCGGCGCGGAGAACAGCCATGTGCTCGCGCTCGAGGTTGTCGAGGCCACGCTCCTGGGTGAGGAGTACGATGGCGTTGGCGATGACCAGCGGGCTCCAGGTGTGGACTGGCGGCGGGAGTGTGTAGTCTTGGACGCAAAGACTATGCGAGGCGACGACAAACGGGACCGCCTCGGCCCGGATGAGCGAGTCGCGGAGCGGGTGCGGGAGCGAGAGAAGAACGAGGACGTAGTGGAGGCCGAGTGAGGGGTGCGCCCGAAGACACGGGGCGAGCGTAGCCAAACCAATCTTCTTGACAGAGATGGGCGAGCTCGGCGCGAGCACGTCCTCGACCAGCGCGTAGATGCCGCGCTCCGACGGGTGCCGCGACGGAAGCCGCTCAAGCAGAAAGCCGGTGAGGCAGAGGAGCTGCGCCTGGACCTGCCAGTTGGCGTCGGCGGCGATGCCGGCCATATGCTCGACGTACGGAAGAACGTAGTCAAAGACGGCCGACGAGGCCAGGAGGCCGTTAGCAATCGACCGCTGGACCGACGACGAGGTGCAGACGTGGGTGAGGAGCGCGAGGGCGGCGATCCGGACCGACGGAACCGTGTTTGTGAGCCCGGCGTCGGCGTGCTGGACATAGGTGGTGAGGAGCGGGCCGTCGAATGCCGGCTCCATCCGGAAGAGGACGAGCAGGCACGGGACAAGTGCGTTCTTCTTGGACAGCACGCCACGGTACTCAACCATCTTGGTGATGACCAGCAAGTGCGCCGCCGGCGTATTGTCCGAGAACGAGAGCACAACCTTGAGCAGCAGGCCGCGCGCAGCCTGGACCGACGCCAGCCGGGCCACCAGCTTGGGCAGAACCGCGTCCTCAAACAGCGCCCAGGCTGCAGCCGGCGAGACCGCGACCAGCTGCTGGCCGACGCTGCACATGACGTGGCATGCATGCTCGAACGCCGACAACGCCGGCGAGAATTGCAGCGCGGAGAGCATGACCCGGGAAAAGGCCGCAAACTGACCGCCGCCGCCGCGCTCGTGCCCACTCTCGCGGCCGAGCATTTCGTCGACCGGAACCGACGACTCGCGGAGGAAGACCTCGGTAAACTCGGTAGTCCGCTCGAGAATGCCCAGAAAGACGGCACCGGCGGCATTGGCCGGAATAGTCCGCAGGTGCTCGAGGAACGACGAGATCGGCGCATCGCGCGGCTCAAACACAGTGTACACCTCGGTGTCTTTGAGTGCGCGCTCAACCTCCTCGTTCATCATGGCCACGACCGAGTGCCCGCCAGTGACGCCTAGGCCCGCGCCGTCGCTCTCATCACCGAGCAGCTCCAGATGCGCCATCTCGTTGTCGTCGAGGAGCGCGCCGTCCATGGCATCGTAGTCGGCCCGCGAGGTGTCGCCGCCGTCGGCGGCACCGCCGCCACCACGCCCGACCCGCCCGTCCTTGCTCCGACTCACTTCCTTGATCTCCACCACGCCCGAGCGGCGACCGCCGCTCTCCCGGCGCCGGCCGGACGAGCCGCGCATCGACGACGTTCCGCGCCGCGAGATGGACTCACCCGCGCCGCCGCGGCCAGACGTCTTGGTCATCCGCATGTGCTCGCGCTTCTCCTCGAGGTGGTGACGAATGGTCTCCTGGTTAATGGCGGCACGGACTTCGCGATCCTGCACCAGCTCGTCCTCGGTCATAGTCAGCGCCTCCTTGATCAGCTTGGACGCCGTCGGCTTGGCAAAGTCGGGCGTCGGCGCACCCTCTGCACCGGCCAGGGCCGGCGCACCACGGCGCTTGCGCTTCTTGACAGGCTTGCGAGTGAGAAAGGTGTACAGAAACTCAATAAACGGCACCGCCGCACCACGCTTGGCATGGACCAGGCCCTCGATCTGCGACTGACTGACGGGGATGTTGTGCTTGCGGAAGAACTGCGAGGAGGATTGAGTGAGTGAGTGAGGTAGGACAAGGGGGGGGGGGGGGGGGGAGGGAGGAAGGAAGGGATGGAGGAGAGTCTGGCGCATACCTTGGACAGCATCTCCCAGTTTGCCAGCTTGCGCTTGAGCGCCGTCCCGTTATCAAAGGCGTGCATCTGGATATCGTTGGAGTAGTGGGAAAGGACCTCGGCGACGAGGAAGCCGTTGGAGAAGGCACGGCGGAGGTTCTTGACTGGGTACGTGAGGTCGAGCGACTGGAGCCACTTGAGCACATCACGCGACAGCACCTCTCGCGTTGCTGCCATCCCGCTTTGCTCTCTTGCAAGTCAGCTGTGGCCTGGCGAGACCCGCCGACGGGGTGGCCAGGGAGGCAGCAACGTGGGAGCGAAACGGACGAGCGAAACGGACGAGCGAATGGGGAACAGACAGACGGGCGGAATGGGCCGGAGGGGCGAAATGGGCCGGAGGGGCGAAATGGGGCCATTTGGGTGAAATTGGGAGAAATTGGGCAAAACGGGTGTAGCAACGTATGGGCCAGGTGTGCACCAGGGCGAGGCGGGGGGTAAGGCTGCGGAGGGGAGGGCGAAGGCAA